GGTCCCCGAGTTGGCCTGAGAGCTGCCCCCAGGGGGGGAAGGGGACCGAGGGTCCCCGAGTTGGCCTGAGAGCCGCCCCCAGGGAAGGAAGGGGACCGAGGGTCCCCGAGTTGGCCTGAGAGCTGCCCCCAGGGGGGGAAGGGGACCGAGGGTCCCCGAGTTGGCCTGAGAGCCGCCCCCAGGGGGGGAAGGGGACCGAGGGTCCCCGAGTTGGCCTGAGAGCTGCCCCCAGGGGGGGAAGGGGACCGAGGGTCCCCGAGTTGGCCTGAGAGCCGCTCCCAGGGGGGGGAAGGGGACCGAGGGTCCCCAAGTTGGCCTGAGAGCCGCTCCCAGGGGGGGGAAGGGGACCGAGGGTCGCGAGGTTGGCCTGAGAGCCGTTCCTCATGGGGCAAAGGGGTCCAAGATTCGGGTGTAGGTACCTACAAAAGTACGCTGGCCAGAGAAGGCACCTTCTTAGGAAGGGGGGATGTGCGTACTAAAGCTGAGATGTGGAAAACCCTAACTATGTAATATGTTTGTTGATATGTATGTACCATTGGCTATTTGTTTACGATATGAATTTAGTGAAAAAAAAAAATGTGGAACTTTTCTTGACTCAACAGGATGTTGGAGCCACATATAGTGACTTGACTGACTGAGGTAAGATTGGTAGAAGACTCTACTGGTAGCAAGGACGGGTACGGTATTGGATCTGGTTGTATCACTCCCCCACCCATACTGGACATACCCAAATGCGAGAGGAGGGGAGGGAGTGTATTTCAACCATTATTGACTCCTACCTTGTTCCGTCACAATGGACAGGATACCGTATGGGAAAGTATCAACATTTACCACCGAATTTCAATGTACTTTGCATTCCATTACCGGTGATTGTTCGCGCTTCAACAATATTTGTGTTGAATGGAGCTACGGGACTGCCGTAACATGGTGTGGCAGGGCAGCCAAGGCAAATCTTGTTGTTTTTTCTTGACTGGCCGTTATAATACGGTATCGGTTAGAGATGAGCAACCAAAGGGCCAAGATACGAGCAACCGATGGGCCAAGAGATGAGCAACCGACCTTCCAAGCAATGAGCAATCGACTGGCCAAGCAATAAGCAACTGACAAGCCAAGGGATGAGCAATCAACCGGCCTAGGGATGAGCAACCGCCGAACCAAAAGATGAGCAACTGACGGGCCAAGCGATGCGCAACCGATAGGCCAAGAGATGAGCAACCGACAGGTTAAGAGTGTCAGGAACTAAGGGCATCTACCTCAACGAAGGAGCAACTCGCATACCCTCGTCGACGGGGAGCGCAACGACCATCACCGACAGTCAATCTCTCTGGACATCGCTATCAACTGGCTCCGCCATCCACACTTCTTCCGCGGACGCACATGTCTCAGAAGACCCAATTGAAATGAAGCACGTTGCCTTGCAAGAAACAGAAAGCAAGCTTTCTCAATATGAAATTTTTTGAAAGTGTGAAACACTTTCTAAAAATAATTATTTTGAAAGCGCAGCTGACTGTAGTTAAGCAAGGCAACTGCAAATGCATATCTCCGAGTACATAACGATGGTTGGAGGCCATTTGGCCTCCACCCACGTCTTCATTTCGGAACTTTACAGTTCCGCTTCCCCCCCACCCGCCCCTAAATGATCTCTATAAATTGTTTTAGTTGGACGAGAATGTTGTAATCACCCAATTGAAATGAAGCACGTTGCTTAATTGAAATGAAGCACGTTGCCTTGCAAGAAACAGAAAGCAAGCTTTCTCAATTTCAGCCTTTTTATATGGAAGGGGTCTGATTTTTCAGCCTTTTATCGAACGTGTACACTGAATGCTCTTAGAGTATAGGCATGAGAGAAAATTGACTGTCGAGAGGATGGTACAAAGGAGAAACCTAAGGGGTTGTACCCCACAGTGAGTACCCCACTAAGCCTACCCAAACTATAACATATATATGTATATATGTTTGACACACCCCCATAGGCAAAGTGGGGGAGAACAGAGGGTCACAAGACCAGTCAAGAAATGCAAAGCAAGCTCAGGGTGGATCACAAAGTCACCACGCAGTCTGAGGACAAGCAAAAGGCCACAAGGCCAGTTCACATGCAGAGATATATATGTAACAACAACAGCACAGTGATCTCTACCTACCAGAGCAAGCATGCAGGTATACATATAGATCACAGTACAAACAAAGCCTACAGCAAGTGAGGAAGCGTGGGTACAAGGCCTAACAAAGTACAGAAACGCTGATGATCACAAGGCGGAAGTGCCTTGGTGAATATATCAGCAGTGTTGGCCCGAGTGGCCACGTGAGCAAGACGAAGCTGGCCACGCTGCTGCAACTCTCGAGCAAGGAAGTAACGCAGAGCGATGTGCTTCGTTCTGTGCTCCAGTCTGTGCTCCTGACACAAGGCAATGGCGGCCTTGTTGTCGACGTACAGCACTGGAGGAGAACGAGGCTGCTCTCCCAAGTCGGTCAGCAGATAGGTGAGCCAGCGTAGCTCCTGTGCAGCCATGGCTGTGGCGTAGATCTCAGCCTCACAACTGGAGCCGAGAACTGAAGACGAGCGTGTAAAACGCCAGGAAACTGAACCAGAGCCAAGGCTGAAGGTGTAACCCTGTGACGACCGCTGCGTAGCCTGGTCGTCAACCCAAGAAGCGTCCGAGTGACCAGTGAGGACAACGTCACCCCGTCCTCCAAGCACAAGCCCCATGCCCGATGTACTGCACAAGTAGCGTAGTACCCTCTTAGCAGCATCCATGTGCACCTTTCGGTGCCGACCAGGAGCCACGTAGCAAGCCAGAAGGCCAAGAGGGTACGCAAGGTCAGGACGAGTGCAGGTCATCAGGTACATGAGGCAGCCCACTAGCTCTGGGTAAGGACCACTCGGCTCTACGGACTCGTCCGAAGGTGGAGCTGAGAGCGAGTGACCTGTAGCCAGAGGAGTGGCCTGTGCTGAGGACCAGGTGAAGCCGAAGCGCTGAAGGACCTGCTGCACCATGTGTGACTGAGTCAGTGTGATGGTGCGGCGTGCTCTGTCCCGGGTGATCTGCAAGCCAAGGTAGCTGCGCAGCTCACCCAGGTCTGTGCACGTGTGTCTCTTCTGCAGCTCCGACTTCACCAGGGCGAGAGCCTCAGTGTCAGCAGTGGCAAAGACCAAGTCGTCGACGTACACGAGGATGTAGAACGGCGGCAGCGAAGTGTCAGCAGTCGATGGGGCAAACCCAAGAGCCGCAAGAGTCGTCCTCAGTGTGTCGTGCCACTCACGTAGCGCCTGACGGAAACCGTAGACTGGCCGCCGAAGGCTCCACTGGGTACCAGGAGGGAACGACCCAGTGAAGCCAGGTGGGCGGCGCAGCCAGATCTCCTCGTTCAGACTGCCCTGTACGAAGGCTGTGCTGAAGTCAAGAGAGTGAAGCTCGTAGTCACGCTGAGCGGCAACGTGCAGCAGCACCCGAAGAGTGGTCATCTTCGGGGTGGGGGAGAAGGTCTGGAAGAAGTCAACTCCCTCACGCTGATTGAAGCCTCGAGCAACGTAACGAGCCTTGAAGACAGGCGGAGAACCCGGCGGTCGCTTCACCCTGAAAATCCACATGCCACTGACGATGTTCGCCCCAGGTGGGGGAACCTCGTCGGCGTAGGTGCCTGTGGACTTCCAGGAAGCCATCTCTGCGTCCATGGCTGTCTGCCAGTGAGAGGAGTAGGGACCCGCGATCGCCTCAGCGTACGATCGCGGAGTCGGGATGTCTGGTGCATCCGGGTCTCCCTCAGGGGCAAGCAGCATGGCCACGAGATGAGGCGCAGCGGCTGCAAGGCACTCAAGGTCCTCCTGCCTGTCCTCAAGGACGTCCGTGCCAAGAGCACACTCACCCCCGACGGACGGAGGACAGACAGACTCAGACTCAGCAACAAGACTAGCGGCGTAGTCTAGACGACAGGCAGCAGCAAAGTCAACAAGCTCAGCGACTTAGGCAGACGCAGTAGCAGACTCAAAATACGGGTCAGTGACAACAGTAGCAAGCAGACGCGTGACAGTAGAGTGCTCAAAACGAAACTGGTCAGACGCAGGGTCAGCGATGACAGGCAGAGAGGACGCTGGCGGAGACGGCAGAGGAACACGCGACGGAGGAGAGGGAGGACGACGGACTACAAGGTGAGGGCCGGGGACAGCCGGCTGACGCTGACGAGGAACACGACTACCGGAACGACCAGAACGGACAGGTGAGACAGGACGCGACGCAGGCTCACGACGCTCAGCAAGGCCCCCTGTCTGCTCAGTGTACGGAGAAGGAGCAGGCAACAGTGAACCAGGCTGTAACGGAAGACCAGTAGACGAAGGGAGACTAAGAACCTGGCGAAGCGCAGAGTCAGGTGGTGGCTGAGATGACAGAGACGGCGGAGCGAAGAACAGGCGCGGCTGTGCAGGGCGACCAGCACCAGCAGCTCCAGCACCCCCAGCAGCTCCAGCACCTCTAGCCGCTCCAGCGCCTCCAGCAGCTCCAGCACCCTCAGCAGCTCTAGTACCCTCAGCAGCTCCAGCACCTCCAGCAGCTCCTGTACCTCCAGCAGCTCCAGTACCCTCAGTAGCTCCAGTACCCTCAGTAGCTCCAGCACCTCCAGCAGCGCCAGTACAGTCAAACACAACACCGCCAGCCCCAGCAGCTCCAGTACCCCGAGTACGAGCACCTCCGGGACCAGATACACTAGCACCTCCTGCAGGCAAAGGACCAGCACCACCCCTTGCCCCAGTGACGCCAGCAGAAGAACCCCCAGCAGTAGAGTCCTGAGGTGCAGAAGCGCGACGTAGACGGCGACCGTACCAGTCGTGCAGCTGCTGGGAGGTGAGAGGCACACGCTGACGAAGACGGCTACTCCAAGGAGACCGCGTAACAGCAGTCTCAGAACCCTCAGGCGACTCACCCCCAGACTCAGCACCCCCAAACTCCGCACACGCAGGCTCAGCACCCCCAGACGCAGTACCCCCAGACACAGGACCTCCAGGCACCTCACGCGCAGGCTCAGCACCTCCAGGCTCCGTACCCGCAGGCCCCTCACACTCAGCACCCCCAGACTCAGCACCCCCACGCTGCGCACCCCCAAGCTCCGCACCCTCAGGGACAGCACCACCGCCAGCAGGACCGGAGTCACCAGTGACCTCAACAGGCGCAGGGAGGGGAGGGTCTACCTGAGAAACACCTGAAGGAGCAGGACCTGGCGCGGGGAGGGGGTATACCTGGGGAGGACCTGGGGCGAGAAAGAGCGGCGGGAGAGGGCGAGGAGCAGTGCGGTAGGGGAGGAGGCGGTAAAAGGGGACCGACTCGTCAAAGGTGACGTCGTGGGATGCAAAGACACGGCGCGAGGCGGGGTCGTAAAACTGCCAGCCAGGCGCGTCAGGGACAAAGCCAAGGAAGACGCAAGGAATGGCGCGAGGGGAGAGCTTGTCCTCGGTGGTATCGCGGACAAAGGCACAAGCACCCCAGACCCGGAAGCGCGACGCATCGCCAACCTTCCCCGTCCACAGCAGCGTAGGCGAGGTCTCCGGCAAGAAGACACGGGGCCAAAGGTTGAGCTGATGCGCGGCGTACCGGACCGCAAACGGCCACAGAAAATGGGGGGCAGCCGCTTGGATCATGGAGGTACGAGCGACCTCCATGACTAAGCCAATGCGGCGCTCAGCAACCCCATTTTGCTGCGGAGAGGCCGGAAGCGTGAAAGTCTGGCGGATGCCGTGCTCCGCACAGAAGGCTGCCAAGAGGTCTGAGGAGAACTCACCACCTCTGTCAGAGTGCAGATGCAGGGCAGGAAAGTCCGACTAGAACCGCTCGCAGAGCTGGAGACGAGTAGCGCGGATCCAGGGGATCAAAACATCAGGGACATCCCTCTTGCGCTGCAAGGGGAAGACCGTGGTGTAGCGCGTGTAGTCGTCGACAACCAGCAGGAAGTACCGCTCGTGGCCCTGTCCACGGACGCGGGCTGGGCCCCACACGTCCAGGTGGAGAGTCTGCAGTGGAGCCTCTATGGGAGGGAACGAGGAGGAGTGAGGAGCGGCGCGCTGCCGCCCGTCGACGCAAGGAATGCAGGGCGGCGCAGGCAAGGGAGGGAGGGCAGGCAGAGACCTGGGAAGACCAGAGACCAGAAAGCGAGAGTGCATGCTACGAAGGCGAGGCAGGGAGGGGTGACCAAGGCGGTGGTGCCACAGGAGAGTGTCGTGAGACAGCCGGCGACACTCACACTGAGTAGCTACCTGAGCAGACGCGTGCAGCTGGGGAGACAAAGGGGTGGAGCGCGACGCAGTGGTGAGGGTGTACAGACTGGACCATGGCGCACGGGTGAACGTGGCCAGGTGGCAGCCGGTCTGGGAGCACGTGCAGATCGCCACACGCTGCCGGCCAGGGGTGAATGTGTAAACACCCGCATCGTGGAGGACAGCGTTGCTCACCAAGTTCGTAGAGAACGAGGGGAGGTGGAGACCAGAAAGCTCACCAGACGGGACCGCCGGACACGGAAACACAGTGGAAGACCGTGCAAGCACCGGGCCCCCAGAGGGGTCAGCCAGTGAGACAGGAACAGGTGCAGGGAGGGGAGTGACTGTGGTGCTGTCGCGAAAGAAACAGCGCGAAGCACCAGAGTCAAGTGTAAAGGTGTGCAAGGCCTGTGCAGGCGCAGTACCAGGGGGAGCAAACTCACAAGCACCTAGTGCTGCAGGGGCTATACCAGGGGCTATACCAGGATCAAGTAGCAGTCACCCTCAGCACTAACAGTCAATGCATACATGGCAGTAAGAATAGCCTCATAGTCAAGATCAAAGATAGGTACATCACGCCTAAGCAGCTCTGCCCAATTGGGGAACTCAGGAGCATCAGGAAACTTGACGCGCCAGGCATCGCTAAGCCGAGCGAAGCAGCGCTGCTCAGTGTGAAACCTTGTGCACTGGCGACCAGCGCGGGGACCTGTGCGAATGAGATAGGGGCAGCGACCAGGACCCCCAGAAGCCCCGCGCCCGGCATACCGGTCAAGAAGTTGCTGGGAAGTGGGGGTCTGGCGCGGACGCTGCTGCTGCTGCTGCTGTTGCTGCTGCTGCTGCGGATGCTGCTGCCCCTGACCACCACTGCCACTACCGCATCCTCCTCCCCCACCACCGCCGCTGCCACCTCCACTGCTCCCAGTGCCTCCGCCGCCCCCAAAACCACCTCCAGCACCTCCACCCCCACGACCACCCCCACCACCTCCACCTCCCCCGCCGCCTGCACCACCGCCCCCTCCACCGCCACCCCCACCTCCCCTGCCACCCTTGCCGCCCCTGCCGCTGCGGCGCTTCCCACTAGGAGCGGAAGCAGCCCCGACCTCCTCAGCACCAAGGTAGTCGAGAGCAGCAGCCGCGGAGGCGTAGGAGGGGGTAAGAGGGGAGGGGGAGCACCCCTCAAAGAGGGGAGAGCGAGGATTACCGCGAGCAGCACCTACAGCGAGGATGTTCTTCTCTGCTGCGAGGAGGTGCTTCTCGAGGTCGTCGACAGTGAGAGAATGGGGGTCAAGGGCGAGGAAGTGGTCCCTGATTGAGCGAAGAGTGTCAGGGAGGCGGGTGATGAGGAAGTAGAGAGTAAAGTACATCGGGGGGCGGTTCTCTGTGAGGAACTCGGCTAGAAGGGCGGCACGAAGGCGAGTGTCACTAGCGCGTAGGTGAGAGATGAGGTCCTCAGCGGTGGTAAACGAGGACAGGTCGGGAAACAGGTAGGGTAGCATAAGTCGACTGAGGGCTGCAGTGGCCGGGGAAGAGTAGCGGGCAACTACAGCGTCGTAAAGTGCCTTGGCAGTCTTGTGCTGGCTAACATGTGCGCGCTCTGCGATCGGCAGATGGTTGCGAATAGCTAGGCGCGCAGCAGCATCGCGGGTCTGCCACTGGGAGCGGTCTAGAGTAGGTTCAGTGGCAGCAGGAGCAACGGCAGTGCGCGACACGTAATCAAATAGGGAAACACCGTCCTTGGCATCAGTCATGAGGAACAGTTGCAGGTCGTCAAGCCAGGTGGAAAACTCTACTGGGCGACCGTCAGGATCGAACGCGAGCACGTTAAGAGTCGCCATGCGTGCATTGTAGGCAAGTCGAGTGCGCAGGCGGCAAGGCAAAAGGCAAGCAAGGAGAGACTGCGTGCAAGGCTGCAGTGGCGGCTTACGGACTGATGTGGCGGTGCATGGACTCCTAAGGCAGCACGGAGGGCAGCAGTGGGCCGCGCGTGGGCCTCTAAAGCGGCGCGTGGTGCAGCAACGAGCTGCACACGGGCTCCTAAGGCGGGGCACGGTGCAGCAGTAGGCCGTGCGCTGGCTCCTAAGGCGGCGCGCGGAGCAGGGGCGGGCTACACACCGGAGGAGGCGACGCAAGGAGCCGGCGGCAGGCTGCGCGGGCGGCTTAAGCGGCGCGCGGGCCGGCAGCAGGCTGCGCGGGCGGCAGATGCGGCGCGCAGGGCCTAAGCGGGCTGCGCGCGGGCCGGCGGCAGGCTGCGCGGGCGGCTGTCGTGGCGCGCGGGGCCGAAACCGGGCCTAAACGAGCCTAAACGGGCCGCGCGCTGGCTGCTTAAGTGATGCGCGCGGGCTGCTCAATTGACGCGCGCGGGAAAAAAAAAATGGGGCCGCGCGCGTGCAGGCAGCCGAGGCGCGCGCGGGCAGCAGGCAAGGCAGGCAGGCAAATGAGGTAATGTGGTAACGGGTGGGCCTTAATCTTAGGTCCTAAAGGCCTCTAGGCTCTAGATACCATCTTAGAGTATAGGCATGAGAGAAAATTGACTGTCGAGAGGATGGTACAAAGGAGAAACCTTAGGGGTTGTACCCCACAGTGAGTACCCCACTAAGCCTACCCAAATTATAACATATATATATATATATATATGTATGTTTGACAAATGCAGACTCCGCGTCCTTCCTGTAAAACACCCGAGATCATTGGGACTCCAACACTTTAGGAACCCTGAAATTTCAGGCTTTTATTTTGTACGAACACTGACAATCAGCCTTTTTGTTTTCACAGGGACCCTCAGGGTCTCTAAAAGTGAATCTGAGGGCCTGATGGGCAGTAACCAATTACGAAATGCATCACAAATATGCAGATTCCACACTATGCGTTTGTGATATACCAGGCAGCTTTCATGCTAGCATATCAGGAATGACCCAGGTTAGGGAGAGCTAAAACTGCTGCTGGAGCAAGCTTGTACAGGGCAGTGTCCATTGTCCAAGTCTATTGTGCAGAAAGATGTTCCCTTAGACATGAAAGTTATGCACGTAGTTGGGCGTGGGTGTGGTGTACCGTATGTGGTCCACTCACTGGTCATGTTTTGAAGTTTGACGGTTAGGCAAACTTGTTTCGGGCAGTACGAGCCGGATTTTGTCCCTTTGTTCCTACCTAAGCGTTGAGGATTACGCTGTTATATGTACCCTTATGTTCCACGTTTACGGGTGTTCACACTTCCGATGTTTTCATACTCCCTGTTGGATCGTTTGGTTGGAAAATCAGAACCTTTTGCGAAATTCTTCCTGGTGTCGGAGCATTGCTCTTGGTGGAACGAGCTGCATCGCGAACAATCTCACAAAACGACACGGCGGGTATTTCCTCATCAATTACAGCTCAGATGACTAGTGTTCAGGATTGCGTGGATGCCAGACCACCTCACAGAGGCAAGGTGGATCACAAGCAGCGAATCCCCTCGGGCGCACTTTATTGGAAGGCCCCTGCGGCGGCTCCTCGTTGTTGGCACTTCCGAAACAATTGCCCTTTCTCGACAAGGACAAAGTGCAACTCGTCAACGGAATAAATGCACAAGTCATAGAAAAGTGATGCCGCTGGCTAGTTTTAAATTGGATATGACACATGATTTGTGCAGTTTTCCCCCCTATCCTAAAACGTTTACCCTGGAAGAGGATTTCCAAAATGTTATTATTAGTTGACGTGGATCGCTGCTTCTGATTCCCAATGCATCCACCTCCCACCGCTGATGCGAGCCACTTCCAGGGAGTTGTTGATGGGCTGCTGTGCTGATATCGCCCACCAGGCCCTGACGACCAAGTAATCGCCAAGAAGTATGGAGGCAACGTGGCATAGTGCGACGTTCCTTAATATTTTGGACACCCTCCCATGTATGGGTAAACATATGGAAACTAGTAAGAGTTGGAGGCTGTTTTATGATTTGGATTCTTGATTCCAAAGGGCCGGAGATTGTCGAGTCTGGGAAGTAAGGGCTGTTCGAGGTCGCCAATGTTTGTGTCTCAGGGTTAGACTGTGGGTTGTTGGGGCGTGTACTACGCTGAAGAAAGGAGGAAAAGAAGACTCCCGATAATGCAAGTAGCTTGAAATAATGCCTCGGACAAACACAGCCTTGCATTTTCGGCGCCGCAAGTTCTGACGTGTAAACCGTTACGCTGGTTGGAGCTTCGGTTTGGGAGCGTGTATGAGGTCTGGTTCGCTCACGAGGTTGCTGTATGTTACAAATTGCAGCCTGTCATGCCTGTCCATTCAATATTCCACGTGCCTCTCAACTGCCCGCGAATCTTTTTCCCGCGCACCTTGGCCTAACCAGCATATCGAGAGAATGGATCACCTTGTCAGCCCAGACCCGCACGTCGATCGAGGCAGCCAGCGCCAAGAGAGCTTGCGATGCGGTCCTCTGAATCTGGGGTGTGAGACACGTTTCAGTGCGTTCTAATGGATTGAAGCGCTGTGGAATGTGGTATGATTCTACTACATCTATCTGGTTCGGAGAATAATTGGTACCGAACTGGGTGCTAAGTGCCACCTCCGTTCCCCCTCTACTGGTTCTTAGGAGAACAGTGAAGTGGCCCGTGCACAAAAGGGTCAGATGCTGGCTGGAGGTGTGTGTGACACTTGAGCGCAACAAGCGGTGGGAACCTCCTCTGCTCCTCCACGTGGTTCGGGGGATTGGGGGGAGGGTAGCGGGCACTTGCGCACCACACAATTTAAATGGAAGCGCGGACGGGTATCAGACGTCCAGTAAGAAAGTAGTCAGTTGCGTAGCCGGGCCAGTGATAAGCGCAGAAAGTTGCGCACTCTATCCACTCAGAAGCGCGGACGGTTGCGCGCCACAACCAGTCACACGCTTCTTTAACTGTCTGGCTTCAACTCCTGTGGTCATTTTGCGTCCCTCGGGATTCTCTCCACCACCAGCTTTCAGTTTCTGATCCTCTTGGCCCACGCCTTTCTGCTTTTGATTCTCTCAACGAACCACACATTCTCTTCTAGCACGACTCTGGCTGTTTCTGCAGCCATCTGTGGCTCTCTTTCAGTCACGTTGGCTGAGCCGTTTTTCTTTACACCGTGACTGCTTGCTTTCTGGTCCGCTCCACGGTACACCTTGGGATTCGGGAGTTAGAACCACCACATCTTACTGTCAGCAACCACTCCAGTGTCTTTGTTTCACAGCCTCACAAGTTCACAGTCACACGCGAAAGGCATTACAGTACACACCGGACAGATACGGTACGCCCGTCCAGCCATTCTCAAACGCTAGCTACCTCACTAACAGGAAGTGACCACCTACTTTTTTGTATCCTTCGGGTTCGCCATGCCGAAGCCGTGTGACGCCTGTCAAAGCGTCACGGCATTGCTCTACTGCCGAGCAGATTCCGCCTATCTCTGCGCCGGCTGCGACGGCAAGATCCATGGCGCAAACAAGCTCGCCTCGCGACACGAGCGGGTCTGGGTGTGCGAAGTCTGCGAAATGGCGCCAGCGGCGATAACCTGCAAAGCGGACGCCGCGGCGCTCTGCACGACGTGCGACGCCGACATTCACAATGCGAACCCGCTCGCGCAACGCCATGACCGAATCCCCGTCGTTCCGTTCTACGAAAGCCCTTCTATGGTCACAGTCGCCCATATCCAATCCGCCGTAAACGGAATCGTTCTTCCCGGATCCGATCTCCTTCACCCCGGGGAACACGGTCTCAAGGGGCTCGGCCTCCATTTATCGGACCGGAACCAAGATCATCTCGGTCACAACCATCATCCCGATAATGAGGAAGCCTGTGACGAGGATACAGCCGGCGATACGGCTAGTTGGCTCCTCAACCCGTCCCTCAACCCCGCTGCCGCCGCCGCCGCCGCCGCTGCCGCTGCCGCTAGTCGGCTCGGCAGCAGTAGCGACCCGCTGTCGTCCCTCCCGTTCTCGAACATCGGCATGTACCCCCCATCTCTCGGACTTAACCCGACGTCCCTCTTCCCCCACCCGAACGCCCTCTCGCTCATGATGAAACCTCCTACTTCCGCTTCCGCGAACCCCACCGCCGCCGCCGCAGCCGCTGCCACGATGAGCGCGCTCCCGCAGTCTCGGCTCATGAAATCAGGAGGCGCGGAGGGAGCAGCAGCAGCAGCAGCAGCAGCAGGAGCAGCAGGAGGAGCAGATCTGTTGTTCGACGTTGATCCTTTTTTGAATCTGGAGACGTTTGCTGCTGCTAGCGCTCACAATCACAGCCATGGGCACCATGCTCTTGCTCGTGGTCATCTTGCCGCGGCTGGGGATCTACCAACTAGTGCGCAACTGCTGCAGAGCCTGGCTGCCGGAGCTGGCTTAAGTTCGGCAGGGCTAGGTTCGGCAGGTTTGGGAGGCGCAGGTTTTGGTTCGGCGGGGATCGGGAGGATCGCGAAAGATAGCATGGTTCCTGTTCATACGACTGATCTGCGTCAATGCTCGCCTTCCGTTTCTAACGCGTCTTCGTTCGACACCCGGGCGCTTCGGGCGCTACCGCTCGCGACTCCGGGCACTTCAGGAAGTGTAAGTTAACGTAAATCTTTGCGTTTTACATTTTTTATTTAGTTTTTCCTCTCTTTCTTTCAGACTTCGACCATCTTTGCCCGACTATCTTTGGTTACTCGACCGATTCGTTAGGTGTTTCGCACAATAACTTACATGTTCTCCTGTTATCGTTCTTGTCCCATTTGCAGTTGTCACCATCCGCGCTCGACAATGGAGTCGTGCCAGACGTACTGGGTCGACCTAACTCGCTCGACGGAAGCATGGCTTTGCCGTTCGATGCTGCTTCGCATGGAGCAGCGGGAGCGACGGCTGGTAACAGTCCGATGGTGGCGATGGCTCGCGAAGCTCGCGTGATGAGGTACCGCGAGAAGCGAAAGAATCGGAAGTTTGAGAAGACGATTCGTTACGCGTCGCGAAAGGCCTACGCCGAGAGCCGACCCAGAGTCAAGGTAAGAACATGCCTTCTTTTCCCCCTGCTTTGAAGCTGCGGCATCTATCGCTGGTGTTTTATCTAGTGCTGTACGTGCCCTTCTATCCGTGAATCGCGCAAGTCGACTTACTCGACTCCTGTTGTCTTTCTCTCTCTGCAGGGTCGCTTCGCCAAGAGAACTGGCAATACCGAGGAGGCTTCTACCGTGGAATTTTCTCCTGCAACCACGGAGTCGAGCTTCGGAATGGTTGCCGCCTTTTCTTGATGCGCAAGTGTAGTCACTTACACGTAACGTTCCATGAGATTAATTATGAAATTATTTAATCCCACATTTTATTTTACCTGGTTTTTTATTCGGCTTCTACTTTGAAGATGCAATATTTACGGTACTCCTAGAAGCCTTTACTAAAGTAGTTATTCTGCAAGAAGAATGGCAACATAAATAGCACGAATGGAAGCTGCTCCTTCTGCAAGAATGGCAACACAAGCTGCTCCTTCTGCAAGAATGGCAACACAAGCTGCACAACAGCAAAACACAGCAACAGCCAACAGGTGCGTAAATAACATAAATTGGGTGCTGCACCAGGAGCGCACGTGGTTGCCATAATAACTTCAAATGCATCCATTTGCTTGAAGCCGATTTGCTGGTTAGGAATCCTGCTGCTGCTGCTGATGCTGAAGCAGGAGCATACCATAAGTGGTTACCATGGTAACACAAGCAGCACAGCAAAGCACACGGCTACTGTTGTGTGAACCACTTGAAATATTTTATTGGTTAAAGCCGCTTTGCCAGACCCTGGTGGAGTTCCCTGCTGCTGCTGTGTGCCATTGGCTGTTGACACGCTGTTCTGCTGAGAGGTAGGCACTGGTGATGATGTGGGCAGTGCTGACGTGGACGGTGCTGACGTGGACGGTGCTGACGTGGATGGTGCTGATGTGGACGGAGGAGTAGGGCCAGGGAGGGAAGCAGGAGCGGGGGAGGGCGAAGAGGAGGGAGCAGCGGGAGAGGAGTGTTGGAAACAATTGATTTAAGCGCCTCTGTCGTGTCGAAACACCAAGTCAGAAGCAAAGCAGAACATATCGAAGCATCAGCGAGTCAACCCTCGGAGGTTGAACAACTGCTGGAGGTTACGCGAAAGTCAAAGGTCAGCGACCTTTGACCTGACAAGTACAGCGCGACAGCAAGGACAAACAACTGACTCGCTATTGAGCAGTTGCCCGAGTCGTCACTGTATCGAACCGCAACAGCAATGGTAAAACGGTTATTAGTTATAACCCTTCATATTCCCTTGTATTCTTATAAAAACTTGTATCTCTTTGCTATTAATCAATCTACTTTGCCCTCACATACTAGCGCAAGGTGGTTCACAAGCCTTTACTTAACGCTTCCGCTATTACATTGTCCTACCCCGAATTTAGTCCTGCAAAGATCCTAAGGGCTTTTTCAGCCCAACATGGTATGAGAGCTATCAGGACAAATTCAACTACAACCAAGACACCTACAACATCACAAGACATGGCAACGCAGAAGGAGAGAAGCTCCTCTAACGGCTCTCCCGGTACTACTCCTACTCCACAAGCTGCCTCTGGCCTACAGACAGAGGAGGGTACGGCAACAAGACCAAGAGCAACATCTTCAGAAACTCCATGCAACATCGTCAGTTGCATGGCACGGCTCACCGACTCCTGCATCACAGAGTCACCACCACATTACTCACCAGAAGAGCAACTCGACAACAGCACGCCTCGCCGCGAGTCACTTCAACCAAATCCGACGTATGCAGCCATCGCTCAAAGCGAGCCGTCCGGGAAAGATACGTGGTTCTTAGACAGTTGCTGCGGACATCATATGTGCTCTTCAGGGCGCTTTGTTCAACGTGAACACCAACTTCAACACGAGGTCGTCATCACCGTCGCCAACAATCAGAACGTGCGCACACGACGACAAGGCGTAGTGCAACTTCAGTCACGAGAGACAAACGTCATACTGCAGATGTCAAAAGTTTTAATAGCAGAAGGGCTCGGTTACAACCTACTAAGCGTAAGTCAACTGATGGTGAAGGGCATACACCTCGAAGCAGATAGCACCACGCAGGAGTTCAAGTTATATAACGGGAAAGGCGGTCTCTACATCGGGAAGGCGGTCCTGAAGAATAACGTCTTCGTCCTCGATTTCGTCCCAGATCTCGGCACCGTTGACAGCGACGGGATCGTTACCTTCACCTCCTGGACACACCCACCAGATCTTGACCCCGACTTCAGTCCAGAAGGCTTCTGGTACTCGCACACCATCCCTGAGACAGAACGAACAAGAGCATTAGCAACAATTCAACACTCGGCAGCAGCAAAGACAACATCAGCAGCAGCAGAGACAACATCAACAGCACCAAAGACAACATCGGCAGCAGCAGAGACAACATCAGCAGCAGCAGAGACAACATCAGCAGCAGCAGAGACAACATCGGCAGCAGCAGAGACAACATCGGCAGCAGCAGAAACAGCAGCAGCAGCAGCAGCAGCAGCAGCAGCAACATCGACACCAATCGCTGGTCCTTCAACTGCATCAGCTCAAATCGACGACACTCCACCAACTCCTGCGCAACAGCTTAACCCAACACCACGAGAAGTACATCGAAGTGCAAACTTCACCGCAAGCTTCTACTCCAACTCCGACTTGTATCGTCGCTCACCCGGACATCGCGCTAGCGAAGACATCTGGCACGCACGAATGGGACATCCAAGCAACACGGTGTTAAACAACACAATCAGAGCAGGAGTACTCGACAAAGATTCGCTGCTCCTAACCGATGGAAGCGAACTTCGACGAGCGCGTGGAACGTGCTTTACCTGCCCCGAAGCTGACTTACCACATCGGCCATTCACTTCTCACCACAACCCCAGCGCACCAACTTACGCACCACTTGAGAAAGTGTACAGTGACATCCTGTACAATCGCGAACCTGGACAAGGAGCATACAGCTACACCATCACGTTCATCGATGCCGCTACGCGTTATGTTTGGCACCTTAACCTTCCAAGCAAGGACATGGCTTTCGAGGCCTTCGTCGCTTGGCTCCCAGTAGCAGAACGAGAATCAGGCGTGAAACTAAAAAGCTTCCAGTCAGACGGAGGAGGAGAATACACCTCACAGAGGCTCAAGCAGTACTTGGCAGAAAGAGGAATCAAGAGGCTCATCTCGCTTCCCTACGCCCATCAACAGCAAGGCGTGGCAGAACGGATGAATCGAACTCTCCAGAACACTATGCGCAAATTACTGCGTGGTATGCGACTGCCCAATCACCAATGGCCTGAGGCGATGGACCACGCCGTCATGCTGCACAACTTGCTTTCGTCGTCATCACTACCGAACAACGCATCACCGCACCTGCTGTGGACAGGAAAACAGGGCAGCACAAAAATGTTAAGAGTTTTCGGCTGCATGGTACAGTATCGCCCACACATTGCAAGAGCCGGAAGATTTTCTCAACGCGCACAGTGGGGACTACACCTGGGCATCGAAAGAAATTACAACTCGTGGAAGATTTTCGACGTCCACTCCAAAGAAACAGTAGCAGCACGTGATGTCATTTTCTACGAACGACTCACCCTTCCGACGTATCTTGCCAACCTGGAAGAAGATCGGGACCCCACAGGTGGCTTCCGTGGTGACAGAGCCTTCGCCTCGACAGCAGACGAAGCTGACTGGGACGAGCAGAACGTGGATGAAGCCTCGGAGGAAGCCGGACCTCTCCCTTACTGCTCCGTCAATGTCCCAATGGATGACGAACATCCTCGCGAAAGCGCCAACGCCGACGTATTTTATCACTTCGCCGACAATGGTTACGTTGCATCCGCGGAAGTCAACACCAACGAAGCAGAACGCATAGGGCCCAACTTCATACCTGACCCAGAAACAGGTGACGAAGCAGCTTATCCCGCGGACACAACTCTTCCCCGCTACACACAGAGTGGCCTCCAGATACTCGGCCTCGTCACCGCGGTCCACGACACGGCGATTCCTAAGGAGCCTGTCACAGTTCAGCAGGCTCTAGGGGGGGAGCATAGGGAAAAATGGCGTGAAGCCATGGACAAGGAACTGAAAGCACTCGAGGAACGCAATACTTGGAAAGTTGTCCCCATTGGCGTGGCACGAAACAAGACAGTACTCACCGGGAAGTGGGACTTCCGTGTGAAGACAAAGGCAGACGGCACCATTGACAAGTTTAAGGCGCGCTGGGTCGTACGCGGCTTCGACCAAGAGCACGGACGTGACTTCACCGAGACATTCGCCCCGATCAGCCGACACACCTCACTACGAATTCTCCTTGCGATCGCCGCCATGAAGAAAAAGAAACTGCGGCAAATCGACGTTGCCAACGCATTTCTCTACGCACCTGTTGACGCACAAATCTTCGTCGAACTCCCACACGGTTCCGACGGAGAACCTAACCAAGTCTGTCAGCTGCTGAAGTCATTGTACGGCATCAAACAGGCCCCAAGACTGTGGCAGCAGTACCTTCACGCTCGACTTACTCGCATCGGATTCCGGCAGCTACCGCACGACCAAGGCATGTACCGGCTCACGAAAGGCGACGACTATATTCTACTAATTGTCTACGTAGACGATCTACTCTACATCGGGTCGACCGACAACATCACTACCTGGTTTGAAGGGGAGTTACAAAAAGACCTCACGCTCACAGTCTCATCTACCGTCACGCAGTACCTCGGCCTCAACATCCAGGAAGGAGAAAGCGCGATCTACCTCAACGCCGCAAAATATGCCGACACCATCGCCAAACGCTTCGCACTCTCCCCAACCACCATCTCCACGCCATACCGCTACACCGACGGAAATCAAAAGACCTCCGCCCTACTCAAACCTACTGGCGTCCGCGACTACCAAAGGAAGCTAGGCTGCCTACTCTTCGCAGCCGTCACCTGCCGACCAGACCTATCATACTCCGCAAGTCAACTCGCCACCTACCTCAAAAAGCCTGAAGTTGAACACATGACGGAACTCGACCGCGCTCTTCACTACCTCGTTAGCACTCCAACAATCGGCCTGACCTACTACAAGAACAGAACTACAACGCCCAAGCTAATCGGCTACATCGACGCCGACCACGCCGGAGATTCTGACAACAGGCGCTCGCGCACAGGCTACATCTACCGCCTCGAGCCTATCGGACCTATCTCGTGGCAGTCGAGTAAGCAGGAATTAATCGCTCTCTCCTCAGCCGAAGCAGAATATATCGCACTCTGCTCAGCCACCAAGGAAGGATTGTATCTTCGCGAACTCCTGGAGGAGGCGAAGCTGGCTCAGTTACCCAGCTTCTCCCTGTTCTGCGACAACCAGTCAGCAATTCGGATGGCCAACAAAAATGGATTCGCGAACAGGACGAAGCATATCGCCCTGCGATATTTCTTCGTGAAGGACGAGATCGAGAAGGGGAGAATTGAGCTATCTTACTGTCCCACGTCCGAGATGGCAGCTGATTACTTGACCAAGAAACTCGGAAAACAGAAGTTTGAGTACTGCATGTTGCTGACTGGACAGAGCCACGTCACCAGCAGCGACACTCCAGAAGCGAAGGGGAGTGTTGGAAACAATTGATTTAAGCGCCTCTATCGTGTCGAAACACCAAGTCAGAAGCAAAGCAGAACATATCGAAGCATCAGCGAGTCAACCCTCAGAGGTTGAACAACAGCTGGAGGTTACGCGAAAGTCAAAGGTCAGCGACCTTTGACCTGACAAGTACAGCGCGACAGCAAGGACAAACAACTGACTCGCTATTGAGCAGTTGCCCGAGTCGTCACTGTATCGAACCGCAACAGCAATGGTAAAACGGTTATTAGATATAACCCTTCATATTCCCTTGTATTCTTATAAAAGCTTGTATCTCTTTGCTATTAATCAATCTACTTTGCCCTCACATACTAGCGCAAGGTGGTTCACAAGCCTTTACTTAACGCTTCCGCTATTACATTGTCCTACCCCGAATTTAGTCCTGCAAAGATCCTAAGGGCTTTTTCAGCCCAACAAGGAGGAGGGAGGGGAAGAGGAGGATGCAGGAGCAAGGCTGCTTGGTGGGGGAGCAGAGGAGGGGGCAGAGGAAGGGGCAGCGGAGGGGGCAGAGGGGTAAGGGAAAACGGGAGTAGAGGGAGGAGCAGAGGAAGGACCAGAGGGGGGAGCAGGCGGAGAAGCAGATGAGGGAGCAGAAGGCGGAGCAGAGGGCGAAGCAGAGGGGGAAGGAGAGGGTGGAGAAGAGGGAGGGGCAGAGGGAAGAGCAGAGGGACCAGAGGGGGGGGCAGACGGAGGAGCAGAGGGGGAGTACAGAGGGGGGAGCAGATGGGGGAGCAGATGGGGGAGAAGATGGGGGAGCAGGGGGGAGTACAGAGGGGGGAGCAGGGGGGCGAGTAGAGGAGGGAGCCGCGGGAGGAGCAGAGGGGAGAGCAGAGGGGGGATGAGGAGAGGGAGCAGCAGAGGAGGAGGGAGCAGCAGCAGGCAAGGAGGCGTTGGCAGGGCAGGCCTGGTTGGGTGCACGGTCGAGGCAGTTACCGGCATATCTGCATGGGGGGAATGGGGTATGCACATGGGATATCACACGTCATGGCACGGCATGGCATATTTTTGAGGCGCATCAAAGATAGGTCAGGCCTATTTGGGTGCACGGTCGAGGCAGTTACCCACATACCTGCATGGGGGGATTGGGTGGGGCGCGCACATGGGATATCACACGTCATGCCATGTTTTTGAGGTGTCTGGCTCGCTGTGTTGGCCAGGGTATGTGTATGCCATACCTGCATGAGAGGCTGATATCATGAGAATTGGCATGGGATCATGTGCTGTGCACTTGCATGAGATTTTGCAAGTTTAGTGAGGCAAAAATAATCGGTGCTTGGGAGATTTGCGTAATCTGCACAGGATACTTGGGCGCCTAGCAGTGAAGAACCGGGTGTGATGAGTCTGCTTTTGAGTCGACTAAAAAAAGACCTGCATTTTGGGAATTCTAAAATAACAGACCTGCACAGGTTACTTGGGCGCCTAGCAGTGAAGAACCGGGTCACGCCAGGGGAACTCACATGAACTGGAGATTGAATTGTTTCAGGATCAGAGGGAGTGGGGCCGTGAGGTGAGGTGTGAGACCCTTGAGTTTTGGAGGCCTTTGGGATGGCGTATAGAAAGTGGCATGGCAGGGACACTCACAAGAAGCGGAGATTAGTTTTTTTCGGGACGGGAGGGAGTGGGCCCGTGAGGTGGTTGTGAGATATGTCACTGTTGCCACGGGGAGGGCGAGGAGAGGGGAGAGGACAGCAATTTCACATAAAATGTGTCAACATGCCAGACGGAAGGGAGTGCGTGGGATGGGAGGCAGTGGGCCCGTGAGGTGGCTGTGAGACGACTTTTGAGGCGCCTCAAATGTGTCAACATCCCAGACGGAAGGGAGTGCGTGGGATGGGAGGCAGTGGGCCCGTGAGGTGGTTGTCAGATGTGTCTCTGTTGCCACGGGGAGGGCGAAGGGAGAAGGGAGAAGGGAGAAGGGAAAAGGGAGAGTATTCAGACGACTTTTTATGCACTGTGCAGCTAGAAAATGAGAGACGATGACATGTGCCACTCACTCACAGGTTGAGGTCATAGATATACGACAGGTGACACGGCTGTGCCGGAATGCTCCCGGTGAGTTGGGTCGGCTCGAGATAGAGCTTGTTGAGCGACTCTAGACGCATACAGGTGGTTGATACAAGGGATGCTGCTCACTCACAGCAATGTCACACGCGGCAGGCAGGCAGGCCGGAATCGATCCATTGAGCTCATTGTGAGCCAGGTTGAGCTCGTAGATATAGTGCAGGCGGCACAGCTCTGCCGGGATGGTGTGCTGCCGAGAGAAGAGCAACAAGGGCTACTGTTCACTTACAGCAATGTCAGACGAGGCAGGGCAGCCAAAAACGCAGGAACTGTCCCATTGAGCTTGTTGTGACTGAGGTTCAGCTCGTAGATGTAGTGCAGGTGACACAGGTCTGCGGGGATGCTCCCAGTGAGACCATTGCGCTTCAGATAGAGCTTGTTGAGCGACTCTAGGCTGCCGAGAGTTTTTGGGATGGGGCCAGAAAGGCGGTTTCCGGAGAGGAAGAGCTCCACTAGGCGGGTGAGGGAGGCTAGAGACGGCGGGATGGGGCCGGTCAGGTTGCAATACTCGAATGAAGTGGTGAGGGAGGGGGGGGGGGGGGGGAGGGAACAGGGGGGAGGGAGAAGGGCAGGGAAAAGGAAAGGGGGAGCTTGTTGAGCGACGATCGACTGCCGAGAGTTGCTGGGATGGGGCCGGAGAGGCGGTTTCGAGAGACTCACAGAGACTCTAGTTTCCCACCCTCTCACACTCACAGGGACTCGAAATTCCCAACGAAACACCCTACCCTTTCTCGCATAGAGTGATTCATGTTCTTGGCCCTTCCACACTCACAGGGACTCAAGCAGCCAGAGAAGAGAGCAATGGAAGGGGGAGAAGGAGAGAACTCGAGCTCTTGGCCCTTCCACACTCACAGGAGCTGAAGCAGCCGGAGGTTTCCCAAGAAGGCCGGGATGGTTCCGTTGATGCCCCTGTTGTAACTCACGTCGCTGCAGGTGCACTGCAGGTATGAGCGTGAGGGAAGGAAGGGGAAGAGAGGACGAGGAGACTCGAGAGTTTTTTTACCCTTCCACACTCATGGGGACTAGAGCAGCCAGAGGTTTCCCAAGAGGGGCAGGGGATGGATGAGGGGTAGAAGGCTAGGAGGGATCCGTTGTAACTGACGTGCGAGAGAGCATGGGGCAGATGGTGGGATGAGAGGGAGCACGGGCGGGGGAGAGTGAGTGAGGGCCAACTGAAACACAAACATAAGCCTTCCAGAAAGATTCTCGCCCGCAAAGGAACAAGGCAAGAGCGCAGCGAGGCAAACAGTAGCAGAGAGGCAAACAGCAGGCAGTCAAGCGAACACTGTTTCAGAAAGGTGTCCCATCCCATTCCGAGGCTGGCCCTAAACCCAAGCATGAATGCCATCAGACGAAGGGAAGAAGCCAGAGCACAGAGAAACGGAGTAAGCCTCAGCACTGCCATTCAACTAAGTGGAGAAGCTACAGCACTGCTCCATACCCTGAACCAGGAGCATAACCCCCCAAAAATCACTTTTGAGTCGACTCAAAAGCAGAAACAAAGAAAGCAGCAGCGCTGCCCATTAACTAGCGGAAAATTCATCAGCAGTGCTCCATACCCTGAACCAGGAGCCCAGCACCCCCCCCACCCTCCCCTCCCCTCCCCCCCCCCCCCCCCCCCCCCTCTCCCAAAACCCCTAAAGCCCTTAAACCCGAAACCACGATTGTGATTGTTGTTTAGTTTGTTGAGATTGGGAAGGTTCCCGGGTGCTGGTGGGATGGGATGGGACCTGAGAGGCCATTGTCGCCGAGTGCAGGGGTGGGAGGGATGGGATGGGGGACGAATGGCATGAGATTGTGCTTGAATTTGTTTCTCTGAGTCACCTCAGTATACCTGAGAGGTCACTATAGTCCTGTGTTTTGTGGGAGACTTTTGAGGCGCCTCAAAAGTCGCCTCACTATACCTGAGAGGTTAGTATTGTACAGTGGTTTGTGGGGAGAGGAGAGATGGGATGGGGAGCAGCATGAGAGTGTGACTGAGTCTGATTCTTGGAAGTGCCTCAATATACCTGAGAGTTCACTATTGTTTGTGGGTTGTGGGAAGACCTCTCAGGTACCTGGTCTCCCCTCTGGTTTGTGCGGAGAGGAGAGATGGGTTGGGGAGCAGCATGAGAGTGTGACTGTCAACTAGTGCGATGAGGGGGGAGAGCGAGGGAGGAAATGGGAGTCGGCACAAGAGTGTGACTGACTCGCATTGAACCGCATTGATTAGCATTGATTCGTATTGATTCGCATTGTAGATTCGCATGGACTCACACACACAATCGTGGATACCAGTCATCACACTCACATTGATTCACATTGATTCACATTGATTCACATTGATTCACATTGATTCACGTTGACTCGCATTGATTCACATTGATTCACATTGATTCACATTGACTCACATTGATTCAAGGGCAGAGGCACCAGCCAGGCTGGCGGGAATAGAGCCGGACAGCTGGTTCGAGTAGAGCTCTCTGAGAGGAGCGGAGGAGGAGGGAGCGAGGGGGAGAGGGGGAGAGGGGGGGGAGAGGGGGAGAGGGGGGGGGTACAGGGCAGCCTAAGGCAGAGAACGGGGCAGCCTAAGGCAGAGAACGGGCACGGGTTTCTCTGCTGGATGGGGCGCGCTACGTAGGCTAGGTAATTACGGAGCGACGGAGCGACTATGGAGCGGTGGAGCGGTACTAGGCTAGGCTAGGCAACGGAGCACGGGCGGGCTAGGCTAGGCTAGGAGCGTACCTACTCATGATACCATCTCAAGAGTGATGCGTAGCGGAATGATTAACTAGAAACAGGATGGGGTACAAATATGCAAACCTAAAATTTGTACCCCCTAGAAGGCACCTCACTACAGCCTATACCACACATTTATATATTTGACAGTATAAGCTTTCGCCAAAAAAAAAAAAAAAAAAAAAAAAAAAAAACCTGCGAGGCTAACCACGTAATAGCATGGTACCCTCAACATTGCAGTACCGTACTCCGATGGGTGAACAGAGCACAGACCCTTTGCTCTCACCACCGAAAAATAAAGAATGTGCAGTACTGAAAAAATCGTGCAAGTGCATTACACTTTCAAATACTTGAGTCATGTCATGTGCATCCATCCATGGCACAGAGGATGGAAGGAAATTTAGTGTGGGTGAGTAGATCCATATCATGACAAACCTGCCTCCTCTTCGAGCCTAGCTTTACTGCTTTGCTCTCACAAGCACAGCCACCCCCACCCCAACGGCACACGCAGCTATAGCTGGCAGCGCATCAGCTACTGCTGCTCTAGAGAAGGACCAATCAGAGGCGGAGGAAGAAGACAGAGAGTAGTGTGAGTGGTGGGGGTGGGAGGAGCGAGGGCGAGCGGAGGAGGGGACGTCGGAGTCTAGTGAGTCGCGGAGCAGGCGACTCAACGAATCCAGCTGGTTGAGAAAACACAATTGGTTGGGGAAACATCAATAGGGTGGCAGAAATAGAGGAAGGGAAAAGGAAGATTGGAAAGGGGCGTGAAAGAATGTCAGAGTATAGTGAGTCACGGAGCACGGGACTCAATGAATCGAGCTGGAAAGTCTTCGTTGGTTGGGAAACAAAAGAAAAACAGAAAAGGAGTAGTGGATTGTATCACACCCCCTCCACCAGCACCAACACCTCGCGTACCCTCCCAGCCTCCTGGCTCGCTACGTGGCTCACGATAGACACCGAAAGGTGCACTGGAATGCTGCGAAGAGGGTACTGCGTTACTTGTGCAGTACATCGGGCATGGGGCTCGTTCTTGGAGGACGGGGTTCAGTGGTACTCACAGGACAATCCGACGCTTCTTGGGCCGACGACCAGGCGACTCAGCGTTCTGTCAAACATATGTGAATATAGGTTATAGTTTGGTTAGGCTTAGTGGGGTACTCACTGTGGGGTACAACCCCTTGCGTTTTTTTTCCTTTGTACCTTTCCCCTCGATAGTCGACACTTACCTTTTCCCGTAAGATTCTAACATGGTATAGAGCATAGGTCCTTAGGACCTAGGATTAGGGCCCACCACGCTTGCCTGCCTCGTCTAGTGCCTACGCGCGCCTCGGCTGCCCGCGCGCGCCTCGGGCGATCCATTTTTTTTTCCCACGTGCGCCGTTTCAGCAGCCCGCGCAGCCCGTTTCGGCCCCACCTGTGCGCCCCTTAAG